AGAGAGAGAGAGAGAGAGAGAGAGAGAGAGAGAGAGAGAGAGAGAGAGAAGCCACAAGGCCACCTTGACTGTTGTTCCCTGGACACCATCTCCCTTGATTTTTGAACCAGAGTCTCGCTGGCCTGGAACTCACCGAGTGGCCTGAACCCAAGGGATAAGCCAGCGCTGGGATACAAGCACACTTTATCACACCTGTTTTTCTTCTTTCTTTATCTCTAAATTCTGTAAAACAGAGTATTTTGGGTACAGGTATTCTGCCTATGTATATGTCTGTGCACTACTTGCTAGCCTGGTGTTCTTGGAGGCTGGAAGAGAGTGTCAGATCCCCTGGAACTAGAGTTACAGAGAGTTGAGTCCCCATGTGGGTGCTGGGAATTGAACCCAAGTTTTCTGGAAGAGCAGCCAATGCTCTTAACCACTGAGCCATCACCCCAGCCCCTATGCCGGTTTTATTTCTTTTTTAACTTGAGTTTTGGGGGTTCTCATGCTTGCAGGGCAAGCCCTCTCCCATGGAGCTGTCTCCTCAGCCCCACACTTAGAATTTATGACTCTCCCTTACTTACACACAGCTCTCCTGGTCAATCACTGAATCATTAAGCTGCAATTTGGTATGTGTCTACCTGGGTTTACAATTATTCACAAGTGAGAGTGGAGAGGTACCATTAAATAAACCAATAATGCCAATCATAAGTCTCTATAAATTCACACACCTAATTTTTCATTGACACATAGTTTGATTTTCTACAAGAATATGAAGCTATTCACTTCCCTTGCTCTTGAGCCTCTGAGGAAATACACACAAATGACAATAGCCATACAATGATAGCCTCTGCCCCACTACTTCAAGCCAAGGGCACTTGAAATAATAAAATGCTGAAAGTCAAGAACAGAACAGAGATGTGCACACTGCCAGCAGGAGGCTTGTATGCTCAGCACTTGAGCAAAAGTGAAAATACAGACATCTCCCTGGGCTGGTGGGAGGAGAGCACCTGTAAGGACAGTCATTTCTATCCACAATGTATCCTTGCAACATGGCGATTATCATCTTGGCTCTGCAGTCTCAAATCACAAGCAGCTAAATTTTCAAAGGTTATATTTTAGAAATATGTTATCAAGCCAAAGGAGCAATATGTTATCAAGCCAAAGGAGCAAGTGGTTGAATAATCTCATGTGTGATTCACAAGAAAGGCTCATGGAAATGGGATCGGGAGAGAAAAGCAGGACACTGAACTGAACTCAAAGAAGAATGTAATTTCCCTGTAATAACCTTAGCAAGTCATTCCTGAGTCCTTGCTTTCAAGGCTACTTGCTGTCCTTAAGGGAAACTTTCAGAATAACTTAGAAAGCCACCACAAAGTATCTTTATTGGCTACAAAAAGAAGTGTTCTTCCCCCAGGAGAAGCCTGCTTGCAGGAGTCCTGAGCATCTGGGGTATGTGCTGGATGTGGATGGTTCAACTCAATGGCTCCTTGGGAACACAGAGGGACACCTCTGTCAGCTGCTGCTCCCAGAGCTCATGGCCTCCCAGGCATAGTACTTTCACGGTGCTGGCTAATCCCCAAATGCCAGGACCTGACTTCTTTTCCACTGAACTTCTCTGGTGTTTACTCAGTTCTTAGTCCATGTTAGGAAAGGCTGGAAACAGCAGGAATGGGTACTCCCTGAGGAAGGCAACCAGCAATGATGAGCTAAAGCTGGAGGATGATTACTCCAGTCTTTGAGTGGGAGAACTCAAGACACACCCAATATGGAAATGTGCTTGACAGTGAAATCTTACTAACTTCATTATCTTTGTCAGTATTTTCCAGAACCACCTATCAAATAAATGAAGTACCTTCAAATTATTATGGCATCACGTTGCCTAACTACAGGAATTCTAAACTCCATTTAAATTTGTCAAATAGTTTATGTATCTTAAAGCCACACAAAGTGTGGTTTGCTTGACTATGAGAACAATGGATATCTGAGCTTCCACCTCATCTAGAATGATCTAGCAACTATTTAACTCAAGGAACCAATCAACCCAGAAATGCTTTCCCATTGACTCATGTTTATTGTCTAATAAGCAGCCAGTAGATACTCAGCAAAAACCTTTTGCTTCATTGGAGAACACAGTAGTGAGGTCTCCACAGAAGCTGAGCAACACATATTCCCTCTATGTCTATATCTACTCAAAGCAAATATAAAAGTGTTTTAATCAGTTTGTAGAAATAAAGCTTTATGGAACCAAGGATGGAGAAAGCAGAGCTAATGTCCAACAATCTCAATTCATCCTTCACCTTTGGAAGGAAACTCTGGCTCTTACCTGTTAGTTGTAAAGTTGTAATAGCCGCTTTCTTCTAGGACCTCTTCAATCACAGTCTGAAATTGATGGAAATTCGGTTAATAGGGAATTAACAGCAACACAAGAAAAACACCTGGGGCTGCAGAAATACTACCTGCATCTGCTCATATGTGAGTCCCTCTTCCAACTCAAAGTTGGTGGGTGGACCTGAAACACAGCAGTTACAGACAGTCAACCTTTGGGTCATAACTTCTTCATTACACCTTACTGGTAATTAATACTTCATTGCAGGAAATAGGGTCAGTTTCTTAACTGTAAAGACTCAAAGGCAAATTCCAGGGCCAAAGAGATGGCTGAGCAGGTAAAATGTATTTGCTTCAATAAGCCTGAAGACTTGAGTTTGATCCCTCCCTGGACTCCCACATGTCTTCTGACCTACACACACACACACACACACACACACACACACACACACACACACACACAAATAAAAGCAAATTCCAAAATGTCTTGGCCTTGCTTCTTTCCCATGCTTGGCAGCTCTGGGTGATGCCATTACAAAGCAATGAGTGAAGACTTGGGAGCAAACTCAGTGTGAACCAATCAAGGAGGTAAGGGTCTGTGTGTTAGGTGAAGGGTGATTCCAGACGCACAGCACCTCAACCCACTGGAGGCTGCCCAAACCAGTTCTTGTCAGCTCAGTCTGCATTGACCTATGAGGAGCCCCGATGGAGGAAGGCAGAGAGGGGGTTCTTAGCTTGGCTGAAGGGAGACATGAAGACAGAGTACTGGCTGGTTTTAAAGCCCAGTTGAAAGGCACTGCCCATGGTGCCAGCAGGTTCTGTTGTCTAGTTGTGCTGAGCCTCCTCTGACAGGGGCTAAGTCTCTGCTCTGGGGTCGAGCAGCCGGCTGCCCCAGGAGCAGTTAGTTAACCCAGTCTTGGGCTTTTGAGAGACTTCAGTCAGAGTTCATTTCATCTCAGTTGCTTTGGTGAGACATCTGACCAGCAGGTGAACTGGTCCAACCTGGACCAGTTAAAAGCAAATGACTTCAGACATCATGTTATCGTGAGCTTGGGATTCCTCCGGGTTCAGTTTAAAAAACACTGTGCTTACCCAGGAGTTGATTTATCACAGGAATACACATTCACAAAGTTTCACAACAAGTAAAAATGACTTCTTAGGCAACAACAACAATACACTCCTGCAAGCTATCAAATATTTATCTAACTGTAAAAGCCTGACTTCTGGCTGCTGCGTCCAGGACCATCACTGCAGTTCATGGGGAATTCTGAAATCTTGGAAGAATGGGATGCTGCTTCCCAGGGTTCAGACATCACAAGAAGAATACAGTCATGCTGAGTCCCTCCAAAGGACTGACTCTTGTCACATCACACTGACTATACAAGTACTATACAATGTTTATCTTGTTTATCATTTTATTGTCTTATTCTTACAGATACTTCCATTTTACAGGAGACACTGTGAATTTCCATGTGAATATGGAAATTACACAGAGAGTCTGGATTGTGTTGTCTTTAGGATTTTTAACTGGAGAGAGATATTTGATTGTAAAGGCTGCTGAGTTTTATATATATATATATATATATTTCAAAGGTATTTTAACTTCAAAATTTGTGTCTAAGGATATATTGCTTTGGGAAAAAGATTCTACTTTTGTTTCCACAGAAGATGAGAACCTGTGGATTGATTCCAGGCTAATATGGTTTGATCAACCAAGTCCCCCTGAAAGGTCTCAGATAACAGCCATGGCCCAGATGATTCAACATCCAAAACAGCTTCAAAGCAACAAGCTGAGATGATTCAGCCTCACAGATTACTACAGTCAAGATTTAACTATAATTCTTAATTTTCTCAGGATCCCCATAATATTGCCACTGTCCCCCCCAATCAGCAGGAAGTAGTATGAGAAGCCATGCCCAAATTCTCAAAATAATGTTTATGAATTTTTTTTTATTTAACGCAGGTTGATTATAAATGTAATCTCTTTCTAAAGAAGAAAGGCGGATATAGATATGATAGGATGAAAGGGTAGATTATTGAATCTACTTTTTAAAGAGCAACAACTTGTTTGAAATGTTTTACATTGCTATGGATTTTATTTATTTATACAAATTTAAAGTTAATTTTGTTATACTGTATATTTTTTTTCTAATCTTGTTTAGGTATTATGTTTATGCAACTCATTTAAAATTGTAATGTATAATTAAGAAATACAGATTAATAATAAGTCATCTATGATAATCAAACTTATAGTTAAGTTAGTTAAGTTTTCGAGGTATGCATAAATATATTTCAATTAGGTAGGTAATCTTCAAACATTTCAAAGACCTACAGGCATTTAAAATGTTTTAGGAACTTAGACTTTTCTGAACATTGAGACATTTCTTCTCGTGGCATGAACCTACTTCAGAGAAGATGATGGGCATCGAAGAAACTCCATATGGAGTTTGCTTTCTTTATGGCAAAAGTTAGCCATTTGGGCAAGAAACTGTTCTTGCCTGGACTTGACAGTATGTTGTATAGACTGGACATGCAGGACCCATGGGAAGATGACCACTGAACTTTACAAGGCAAGATGGTCCTTCAGGTTCCTGCTTCTCAGAAGAAACTGCCAGACATTCTATGGGACACAGCGAGAACTGACTTACAAACTTTGCCAGAATGGGCAGAACAGTCTTCAGAATTTCCTGCTTCAGTGAAAGCTATGCCAGAGACTCTAGACCTGTAGGCTGAAGACAGATGCCCCAACATTACAGAGGAACTCTGAATGACTGTCCAGACAGCCAGATGTCTCTGTCATTTCTAGAACTTGGGGAGTTGCCGCCCATGCACTTCCTATTTACTCAGGTAATATTATATTCTTTTGTGGTCTTTGATAGAGTTGAAGACTAGATAGTTATAATTATAGTTTTCCTTAGCCATGATAAAAGGTAAATTAGATATAAAACTTCAGACTCACAAAAATAGGATGGATAATAAAATATTTTCTTTAATTTTACCAAATACAAATAGACTAGATAGTGTAACTGCAATTATTGCTTGATAACTGTTTTATTATATATAATTTTACTATGTTAAAGTTAAAAGCTTCTTCCTTTTGATTAGACAGATGGGGGAAGTGCTGTGGGAGGTCTTTCTGGATGCTGTGAATATGTGTGGCTCCCACTAGATAATAAATAAAGCTGTTTTGGCCTATGGCAAGAAAGCTTACAGCCAGGCAGGCAATCCAAGTAGAGACAGAGAGAGAAGGGCAGGGTTGGGAGAGACTCCAGCCACCGAAGGAGCAACAAGATGCTGGTAATGCCAGGACCACATGGCAACATATAGATTAGTAGGAATGGGTTAATTTAAGATGGAAGAGTTAGCTAGCCAGAAACTGAAGCCATAGGCCATGCAGTTTGTAATTAATATAAGCCTTAGAGTGATTATTTTATAAGTGTCTACAGGATCACAGGGCCGGGTAGAACTGAAGAAACTTCCAGCTACAGGCAACCAAGAAAAAAATAAAAGGAAATAAAGTTCACACAAAGATCCTACTGTTTGTCATGTCAATAAGCAAGAGAGGGGTTTCCTGGGCTGGGACATGGTCTCTAGAAACCTCCATATCCTAGTCACTGTACCCCCAACCACCATCTCAGAGAACATATTCCACACTTTCTGTGTGGTGGGAGTGGTGTTTAGGACACAGGAACAAAATGGTTCTTTCTGTTGTTACTTTTGATGGAAGCCAGACCCCCCCTTACCTGTGGGGTCACTTTGGGACCAGTTGTTTGCAGCCAGTGAATGATGTAGTAAGTGGTAATCTGATGTAAAAAAGTTTGGCTCGATTGGTTCTGGAGACCCCTGAGATAACTGAAAAGGGAAATGAAAAGGCACATCAGAGACACAGGGCAGGCAGCTTCTGGGAGAGGTGCTCCCATTCCATTCAGGAACTCGGTGTCTGCATGAGAATGCTGGGGCTCTGTGGTCCCTTGTAAACAGAGGCACATCCTGCTTCCAGAGGACTGATGGATTGGAGGCAGAAATTTACAGTGACGGCAAGTCAGACCATTCCTTAGTCACAAGAGAAAAACCATGCTTTGAAAAGACAAAAGACAAAAGGGCCTGGGACATCAAGGTGCTATTTTTAATCAATTATAAACCTCAGTTATTCAACAGAACAATATGCTTAGCCCATCATCTGCTTTGAACAACACCTTCTTGTTGGAACATGGCAAGCAAATTTCTTAATACAATTTTTCTAAATTACTATTAATTAACTTGGCTCTGCAAACCTTGGTTCCTAACACTCTATTCACCCAATGGCAGAATTTATTAAGTCCCAACTGTTTAATGTTCTTCTGTGAAGCTGAATTTTTAAATGGAATTTCTTAATGGAATTTAAAGCTATAAATATTTTTCAATTCATTTTACCTTTAATTCCACCCAACACTTAGATTGGCCAAGTTTTAGTGCCTGAGTTAATTTACTCTTAAAATGTCAAATATTGATAAAGCAGAAGCAGACAGCACAGTTTGAACTAGAAGGATGCAGTTAATTTGGATTTACAAACTATGTCCATGAGTTAAGCACATCCATTTCCAATCACTTCAGAAAACTGGCAGCAGAAGCCACAACCAAATAACACGTGCCACCTGGTGACCTAGAAGACGTGCGTGTGCAGGGGTCCCCTCCTCCTTCCATATGCACCCCATCTTCTCTGACCTCCCTATCCTCTCTTTCTTCTATAAAAATAAAATGTACAAGAATGTTCATAACATGCTGTTTATAATAACTAAAAACTGGAAAAATCCCAAATGTCCACATATGCTCACACTGTGGGATTTTACAAAGCAATAAAACAAATGATTGACACCCAGAATGTGGATAAATAGTGAACAAATAAAGTCTTGCACAGGAGACACAGAAGAAAGCTTCACCTATGTGCACTTTCACCATCCTGTAGAACCAAGGAGTAGCGATGGACATCAGGATTCCGATAACCCTGAAGCAGAGATGTGGTTGACAAGGATGGAGCCCAGTGAGCAGTTAGGAAGGTTCTGCTGGTTGCTGTGGCGGAGGTCACATGGGCAAACACATACCTCACTGTACACTCTGCATTATCTTGATATATTTTAGGTTAGCAAGTCAGAACTATTCCATCATTGCATATCAGACACTATGAACACACACTCAGGCACTTCCCCCAGTCTCCACATATATGCTGTATTAGAAGAAAATGGGGTCTGTCTCTTTTCATTCTTGAAAATATACAGCTCTTCAGTGACAACTTGGGTATAGCATGACAAGACTGTCAGATGTTGATGTATTATACTGCAGAAGGATCTGATGGCCCTAGGCTCTGCCTTTCTTATAGTCTGGCTAACAGTAGTCACTGTGTTTGAGCTTCCAAATATTCCCTGGGATCCTCAGAATGATATTCTGTGTTAGAATAGCTTTAGGTTTTTCAGCAAGGAGGTGGTCTACTCTACCAAACTATTCAGTGTACCTTGTTGTCCTAAAGATTATACAGCCACTAAAAGGCTCAAGTAAAAGAATGTAACTTGAGAGTGGGGGACCTCAAGACTGCCATTTTGAGATGGCAAGGGTAAGGTGACTCTTTTATTGGCATTCAGGCCTGAGGAGCAGGTTGTTTAAGATTTTTCGTCTTGTGTCACACTGCCACACTCCTGTAGCTTGAGAGCCTCAGATCCTCTCTGGGGAGGAGAAATGGCCTAGGAACAAAGGCCAGGGCCAAAATTCAATAGTCTTGTGTTTGAATCCAGATATATTTATTTTTATTCCAGAACTTTACAGAGCTTCTTCTTATAGTTTAGTTTCTAGGTGTAAATATTCTTTCAGCAAATTAAATCCCTCAAACCACTCCATTTACTAGGTGTTATACTGTCCATAATTTTGACATTGTGGCATGAGGCTCTCATCTACAGAGTTCACACTTGAGAGCTGTTCAATCAAGTTACAAACACAAACACACACAGAGAGATACAAATCTTATGTTGCCCCTGGGCCACATAATTCAGAAATGACCATGATATATATATATATATATATATATATATATATATATATATATATATATATACACTCCTGGCTAGGAGTATATATTGTAGTGTATATAGATAATGCATGTACAATAGGCAGTGCAGTAGATCTAGAGGAGTGTGTATAGATAATGCATGTACCATAGGCAGTGCAGTAGATCTAGAAGAGTGTACATAGATAACACATGTACAATAGGCAGTGCAGTAGACAGCACCGTGGAAAATGGGAGATTTGTCAGCACAGGAAGTAATGGTGGAGAGCTTCACCCAGGTGATGATGGAGGAGGCATAGACACAGAAGAACCTGGCCTGTTCTTAATGACCACAGCAGAACTCATTGCCACTGACTAAGTACTTAAGACATTCTGGCAAATTCTGTCATTCTATTGTGCTCTTGCCACTACCCTGTAAGGGAAATGTTATTTTCATCTTGTGGATGTGGAAGCTGGAGAGGCCATCTACTTAAGGAGCATAGCAACAGTGGTAGAATCTGAGCTAGAGTCCAGGGCTTTCCACAATCAAAGGTCAAGTGAACCTTCTACCCCTTGGCTTGAGTGACTTGAGGATACGAAGATAAACAGTCCAAAGAGACTGACATTTAAATAGAGCAAAAAGAAAGATGTTTCTAGTGGTCCTGGTGTGGGCATAGGGAGCTGAAGGTGATTCTAATGATGGATGTGACAGATGGCAAAGTCCCTGCTGCCCAGTAGGTGGAGACACAGAGGAAACACAGAATGACTTTCAAGCTGCAGCCCCTGTGGCTAGAGTAGCCTCTGGGTGGTTACTGGTCCCACTGTGGCATTGTGAGCACTCAGCCTGTATATAGACCTGACTTCACCATGCTTTCCCTCTTTGCCTGACACCAGGGAGCACCCTCAATTCTGAAGTGCAAATGGCTGCAAACGTTTTGAACAAGTCAAGGAATACATTGATAGACCCGATTATGGCTGTCACCACCCCTGTATCAGGACATCCCTGAGTTGGGGCAGCTACTGAGGCATTTTAGCACTTAGTCAGTTAAGAACAAACACTTAAGGCAGAAATTACACAGAAGCCAGCAAGGAGAGACTATCATTTTCCAGACTACCTCTTCTTTTCCAGACCAGAAAGTCTAGTCCTCCGCTGCAGACCCACGTCACAAAGGACACAGGACCTAACCGACGGAAAGAACTGCAGAAGACAGAGCCAAGGATGAATGAAACTGGACGCCAGAAGTGAGAAAAGTTTGCAGCACAGGCCATCACTCTGCACTCTCTGCTCCTCTGGTCTAATTACCTTCAGCTTTCCTTGTCCTCTGAGACTGAACGCCACTGTGAGAAGCCGGGAGAGGTCCCATCTTCTCTAATCTACTGCTTCTTTTAGCTTCTTACTAGCTTTTCCCAAGCACTTTGTAATCAGAAATGATCACTATCTATATTCACTGGTTTTCTTCCACTAGCCAGCAGTTCATCAGCTCTGCCATACTCTAAGCTCCTTCTACCAAAGCACCCAGCTGTGTGGTGTTTACATTTTCTTTAAGACTCCTGTCCCTAACTGAAAGTCATCATGGGAAGGATGGAAATGTTCTGTGTGGTGTTATTTAGACCCAGAGCCTAGTCTTCCCCAGACCTACTTTAGACAACAATGATGGCATCGAGGCAAGAAGGCTGGTGGCCTTCCCTCTAGGAAGGTAGCCCCTGGCACTGGAGCCTTTCTTCCCGGTCAGAACTAATCACCGTTGCCCTACTGACTTAGCAAGCCTCTGGATCCCAGGCAGGGCCAGGTAAATACAAAGCATGGTTATCACAGGTGTGAAGTTCTGGGAGCTGAGCAATCTGCCTATCTGGAAAAGATCTGGAAACTCAGCCATTAAACAATACAAACTGGATCTGCAAATACGCACTCGAGTGGAGAGTCAAGGCAGCGTCAAGAGGCCAACTGAAGTTCTGAGTCAGCTAGCCTACCACAGTGGGAAAATGTCACCCATTTGTCCTTGTCCCCTACACCAAATGCTCTGCAGAATGGTAGCTTCTAGAATGGGGAAGAGGACAGACTTGTGATTCCTGAGTGTCACTGTGTAGAGAATGTGATTGGCCAGCTTGACTGTCTCATCTTCCTAACAAAGGCCCTATGACTGTTGGATATGTTCACAGTGGGCAGGCATGGCTCTCTGTATGCTTCTTGAGTCAGCCGCAGTGGACAAAGCCTGGAAACCGTGAGAACAGCATGAGCTCTGCTCTTCCCAGGTCCACGGCCTTAGAGCCAGGCGAACAGTATCCCCTGTGACTGGGATACACGGTAAAATGTAAGAAACACTGTCCCTACCAGGTTACTAATTTCTATCCCTGATTCCCATGCTGGAGCCATGTGAGAGCATCTCAAAACTAAGTACCTGGTTCCAAGCCTCAGAAAACAAAACCCCAGAAGTGTCAGAAGGTTTGGAATCCCTAGGAGAGTCAAATGAGCAGGAAACCGTGAGAACACCCCCCCACACACACACACACACACACACACGTGGCTGAGTGCTTACAAAACAACCATTTCCCAGGTGGGGCTTAGTTCTTTGGTTTGCTGTAATCCTGGGTTCAGACGATACATGAAGCTTGTAATGTGAAGGCTTGAGAAGCCATGGTGGTAAGTTAGAATCACGTGGTACCGGGCCTTCGTGCAATCAGGAACAGTCAACTCTTGCCACAGAGGACCGGCCCCTTTCACCCCAGCCCTGTTATAGGACATAAGCTTGTCCACTTCTGAGTGGCAGCTTAGTCAGGAGAGAGAGAGCTGTTGTCAAATGTCAATGGCCAGGCCTTGTCTGGGAAGAGCCTGAGACAA